TCCAACCCTGGTTGTGGCCCGTTTTTTATGGGCTCGAAATACTTGAGCCCGACTCGAAAAAATATGGGCTGGTTCACGAACCAGCCCGCGAGCCGGACTCATTTTACATCCTAGTGAATGGTTCGTTGCGGTTGCGTTTTGATATAAATTATCAAAAAAATATTATTTTAAAATAATATTTTATAATAATTTTAATTAAATTTTTAGTATCATTTGATAAAAATTAATAACTAAATTTATAATAATTAAATAATACATGTAAAATATAAATATTATCAATTTATACTATAAAAAAACAGTTATATAGCGATGGAAAAATCCGTCGCAAATACAAAGAAAATCCGTCACAATTAAAAATTTGCGACGGAATGCGACAGACTTATTTCCGTCGTTATAGCGCTGTCGCAAACGTATAACGGTCGTTAATCCATCGCATTTTTGCGACGGAAGAAATCTGCGTTTTGCGACGGAAAGTGACGGATAATTCCGTCGCAAATTGCGACGGAATTTTTTCCGTCGCAGTCCGTCGCAAATGTTTTAAAATTTTAAAAAAAATATATAAAAAAACTATATACTATATATACACGTACATATATACATTTTCACATACACATACACCTATATACACATATATTCATACACAAACATTATACACATACAAATATATATACATATATACACATATATTTTCATATACACAAACACACATACACATTCACACATATACACATATACACATACATAAATACTCATACATATATACATTTCACAAACACATACACATACACATAAACACACACATATACACATATATTCATATACACATACAATCACATATACATACACATACATATTCACATTCACATATATACACATACACATACATAAACACACACATACACATTCACACATATATACACATTCACTTACACACATATATAAACACACACATATACATTCACACATATATATACACATTCACACACAAACATACATACATACATACAATACACACACATTAACAACACATAAACATACATACACACAAAATATACATACACATATATAATCCATATATACTCATATATACATATTCACACTCATATACATATACATATACCTTGATATATCTTGGAGATATTTTGGAGGAAAACAACGTTGGAAAAAAATTGGAGAAGATTAAGATTTTTTTTTGGAAACTTCAAAGTCTGAAGAAAGAATACGAAGTCGGTGCTTTTATTTCGTGTTGCGACGGAAATTACCGTCGCCATCCGTCGCAAATTTGCGACGGAAATTTCCGTCGCCATCCGTCGCACAACGAAATAAAAACCGCGAAATAAAATCCGTAGCTAATTCTGAAAAATAAATAAATTAAATTTAAAATAATTAAAATTAGCATTTGCTACGGAAATTTCCGTCGCAAATAATGTTTGTTATTGCGACGGCAACATCTCCGTTGCATTCCGTCGCAAATTTTCGACGGATTTTACGACTCTTTGAGACGTAAATTTTTTTTCCGCATTCCGTCGCTAAACCGTCGTATTCCGTCGTAATTTTGTATGCGACGGAATTTTCCGTCGCAAGTTCCGTAGCTATACGAGAATTTTCTTGTAGTGTTAATTTATTTCTAAGTAAAAAATAATTTTGTTATAAAAATTATTTAAAAATAAAAGGAAAAATCGCATATAAATACCTAAACTTTTACAAAAATCCTACATAAATACATGAACTTTTCTAAAATCTTATATAAATACCTAAACTACTGAAAAACTCTCAAATAAACCCAAATTCCGTTAATAACATCATCTATTTTTATTTGAAAATATCTAAAATTTATATTTTTTTGGAATTTTTTCAAAAGTTTAGGTACTTATATAAAAGTTTTAAAATTAAAGTATTTGTGTGGGATTTTCATAAAAGTTTAGATATTTATATACTATTTTTTCTAAAAATAATCATTATTAAATTTAAAAATTATACTATTATATTTTTTTATTAAAATATAATACTTGAAAATAATATCAAACCATAACACTAAATAAAATATCGCCAATATATATATATATATATATATATATTAGTGTTTTATATATTTTTTAATAAAAATATTTTAGTTTTTTGTCAAAATGTCAGAAACCGCTATCAAAACGAAAGTTGAAAGGTGCGATTAGAAAAACAAGTTTGGTTGTAGATGCAGGTAGTTGCGGTTTAACCAGTCAGTTTTTTAATCGTGTCGAAAATCGTGACCGTTTTGTTTGTGGATAACAGCGGTGTAATGTCCCCTACTTGGTTCTATTATTTTATATAATTAACTCTGAATAAAAAGGATAAATGAGAGGTCGAGCCGTTGCAGTGTAGATGTGGAATTGCTTCTAAAATTAGTAAAGAAGCTTCAGAATCCCTTTAATGTCTCTCGAATTTAACGTTCACTAAATTGTTCCAACATGTCCGTCCTTCACAGACATTTCTTCCCTTTTTCTTATTCTATTTTCTTAATATCACCTAAATTGATTTCTATAATTAATGAATCATATTTTTTAATGATAAACAACGGAAAACAAACAAATAATTTTGAGAGCTCAATTTCTTTGTTTTAAAATATAAATAAAAAATTGTGATTCTGTGGTCGGATTAGTTATGTAATTTAAAAATAAAAGGATAAAATAGTAATCAAGTTTGGGAGTAAATGTTTTGTGGGATCGCAAGCGTATCTAAAGTTCGGAACACGTGGCGATGTAAAAGAATCAACATGCCTGTCACCGTAGTTCCTCAAAGTCTCGTGATAAAACGCCACGTTAACAGATAAGGCCAACGCGTTACGCATAGGCAGTCTTGCGCCGCTGTTTGATACTCATCTATGACAGGCCTGTCACGGAGAAGTTCACCATTTTAACTGCGGTGGAAAAGTAGCTCCTAGGTAGATAACCCAACCATGGTTAATGAATAACCATACCACAGTTAAACATCGCCATTACTCTCTCTGCAGCTATATAAACAAGCAAAGCCTTTGCCGGTGATTTAGCAAGCACAAACCCATCTCAAGAAATCGAAGGATGTGATTTGGCCGGAAAAAGGGTATCCGAAATGATGATCGGAGAAATTCAACGATCTCATCCAAGTGTTCATATTCCTCCGTGCCCGGTTTCCGACGACCATACTGCGGCGGAGATGTATTATCCGGCGTTCGGAAGCCCTGACGGGAACATGCTTGGAGCCTTGGCGGCTCTACAGCGTTATCTGCCGTCGAGCGAACCGGATCCTGACTCCGACCCGGATATTTCGGGTCCGGAATCTCCCGTCCACGCTTACTCCTCTGATCATTTCCGCATGTATGAGTTCAAGGTGCGTCGTTGTGGGCGTGGTCGAAGTCATGACTGGACGGAGTGCCCGTATGTTCATCCTGGCGAAAAAGCTCGCCGGAGAGATCCGAGACAGTACCATTACTCCGGCACGTCTTGCCCCGATTTCCGAAAGGGGGGTTGCAGGAAAGGTGACGCGTGCGAGTTCGCTCACGGAGTTTTCGAGTGCTGGCTTCACCCGGCTCGTTACCGGACTCAGCCGTGCAAGGACGGCGGGAACTGTCGCCGGCGAGTCTGCTTCTTCGCTCACTCACCGGACCAGCTTCGGATTCTTCCGCAGCAGAGCCCAGATAGGGTCGATTCCTTTGAGTTATCGTCTCCGATTCGCCACTCCAGCGCCAGGGCCTTTCAGTTCTCGCTCTCTCCGATATCGGGTTCACCGCCGGTGAGTCCGCGTACTGACTCGGAGTCGACTCAGTCGCTGAGCCGTTCTTTCGGGTCGAGTCCGGTGAACGACGTCGTTGCATCGCTGAGGAACTTGCAGCTTAACAAGGTAAAGTCTCTTCCGTCGTCTTGGAACACTCAGTTCCGACGCTACCGGTCCGGGTTCGGGTCTCCACGTGGATCGGTCCTGGGACCCGGGTTTCGGAGTCTACCCACGACCCCGACCCGACCCGGGATCGGGTATTTGGATGTATGGGACAAGGAATCGGATGACGAACCGGCGATGGAGAGGGTCGAATCGGGTCGTGAACTGCGAGCGAAGATGTTCGAGAGGCTGAGTAAAGAGAACTGCATGGATCGGGCCGACCCGGATCCGGATCAGAATCCGGGTGAAACCCCTGATGTCGGGTGGATCTCGGAGCTTGTGAAGTAGACGAAGGTGAATTGTCTCTGATTATTAAACTATTAATGTTCTTTTTGGGATTTCCTCGGAGGAGATCTTTGAAGGTGGATTTTCCCGTGAAACAAACGAGGCCGGATATTAATATTATGTGTTCATATTATTTTTTTACTAATTTCACATTCTCCGATATATATATTAAATATGGAATTTTGGGGGGAGATTTCATTAAAAAAAAAAATAAGACTTTTGAAGGAGAAGATTGCAGATTTAATTTCATTGTATAGAAGAGAGGCTTTAGAGGGTTATTATGTGTTATTAATATATTGAGGTTTTTGTGTGTGTGCGTGTGTGTGTTTTGTGATTTTTTGTAACACCACCAATCTTGAATGTACCCTCTTTATCTTTTTCATCAATGAGAATGTAAATTATTATTAAATTTGGGATCAACTGTTAAATGGTTTCTTGAATGTTTCAAGTTCATGAACTTTGACGTTCCATTTTTTTTTTTTTTGGTAATTTAGCAATTGAAAATGATGTGATATAAAGTCATAGGATCTTATCAGAAGAGTAATGAATGAGTTTGGGTCATCGAGTTGAACGGGTCATGGGGGAAGAAAAAAACAGTTTACTTAAACTACAAGTTAGAAAATTATTACAGCATTTGGATGTAGTGACTAAAACATTTAATACTCGGTAACATTTATTCTTGCATGACTTGACGATCCACTACCGTGTATAATATTAAACATTATAGAATACCATGGGAAGAACGTATTTCTCGATTTCAAAATTGTGGGTGAACTTAGAATATTATTATTATTTTCGATTGCATTTTTTTTTTTGGGGGAATTGGGTTGGTATTATGGATAACGAGCCATGCACACATCAAACTCTTAAGATATTTGCAAACTTTGGATTAGAAAAAGTCGCATTGACCTTTGAAAAGGAGGCTTTGATATGCGTTATCCAAAGTGTTGATTTAGACCAAAATTTCCCATACCAATAATGACAAAACCCAAAAGGGAACATGTAGGTCCATATTAGATATGTGATCATATTTTCGACAATTTATTTTAGAGGACACGAGGAGAGAAGAGTAAAAATGTCAAAAGGAAGAAACCTAAATGTACGGGCAATGGTTGTGGACCAAAGACAGAAATCAATGCCTTATCTCTTCATAAGATCAATCCACTCCAGGAAGAAATCCAACCCTGGTGATAGATTTAGGTTTTAAAAATTCGATTGTTCCATTTATTTTCATTTTGAACCAATGATATTTATTATTAGGTATAAGATCAAACTTTGTATTAAAAACACCACAATCCCATTCAGTGGGAGTAAACCAGATGATTACCACAAAAATCTTCATAAAGATACATTGTAGAAAGAAAAAAATAATGTTATAAAACACTCGAATGCAAAGATGACAGAAGAATTTGATATAAGGTGTGGATCCGATTCAATCCGAATCGGATCCTTATATATACATAATGCATCGTCTTTTTCCCTTTAATCAATGCAACAGCCCCTTTTGTTGGGATCTCTCTGCAGTGAATTTCCAGTGGACTGACCTGCCATAGTAAACGAGGCCTTTCACCAAAAACACTATCCAACCATTGGAATGGACTTCAGTTCGCTTGCAAAAACTATAAACATTAACTTCTTATATTGAATTCAACTCTGTGATTTGGGTTCGATTTTTAATAGTAAAAATACTTACTTTTTGAAAGGAAAAAAAGTTTGTTTTTTAGTCTGCTCGGTTTCAGGAAAATCATAACTATTCGGTTCTTATATAGGATAAGCTCAATTGTTCGGTTATTAACCAAATTGCTCACTCTTGCCCGAAAAGTTTCTAACGACTCATACCTTAGAGAGCCATCTCGGCCTGTAAGGCAGCAAGTTCATCTTCCTCTTCTGTCCGCTGCTTCTGGGCAGCAGGACGAGCGGTTTGCCTTCCTGCAGGCACGGATACAGTGGCTGCCGGTGCTGTTGTTGCGGGCTGAAGAAGTTGCTCTTCCAGCTCGGCCCCTTCTAGTTCTTCTAGTTCCGCTTCTAGTTCATCCTGCCAAATTGAAAAAAAAAAACACATATTTTTCTCAAAACTGTTATTCTATAACCGAAATGGAAATATGCCCGAGTGCACAAAGAATATGGAAGGTACCTCGTCGAAATCAGCTGCAGCTCCAATTGGAGTGGACAATGCTTCCTGGATCTGTTTCATATTCTCTGTCTGCTCATTGATCTCATCCATGGTCTTGTCCACATCATCAATGTTTCTGCAAACAAAACGTGTTACCAGAATACCATTAGCAGCAGCTTAATCATAATTTCACACTAACAAAGGTGATTCTTTTCCGTTATGCTTTTTTTTCAGACAGGTGAAACATGATGAACTCAAGCAAGAGTGAGGGGAAAGCCAAGTTGGAAGAATTCAATGAGAATGTATGTAAGGACACGACAAGCTCATGTTGGAGGAGAATCTATAAGAGAATCAATGAAATTGATAGTAAAGAGACCATAAAGAAATATAAGTGCACAGATTATCAGTACATACGTTGCTTTCTGCATAGCCTTCATTGCAGCAGCTCCACTTCTCAATGCATCCACAGTTTCAGTAGTTGCTTTGGCACCTTCTAACATAATCATCTGTTTGAAAACAGGTATAAGACAGTGATAAGGTACCACTGCTGAAATTAGCAACCTTTAAAAACGTTCTTAAATGCAAAGATAAGGGAGCTGACTTGATCATGAATACGGAGTTGGAAATTTCCCAGCTGTTCAACTTGTTGTTCATATAACCTCTTTCTTTTCAGACACTGTATAGCCGCTGCATCAGAACAATATAACTAAGCATTCTAATACTCGAAATGCAACACATACATCCATCCATACAAACCCAAAATCCCAAATACTTGCATATATATGCATGTGGATCCGGTTATAAAATTAAACATAGATCAAGTCGTACCTCGTTTGTTCTTTGCCCGGGTGAATTCCTTTGCTTTTTCGACCTCGCCAGCAGCCTTCTTCAGGAGCACTTTCTCCTTTTTCTCCAACATCTCAAGTGTCTGCAAAAACCAGTAGTATAAAAAGGGCACCAATGACACGATGCTGCAGAGCAAAAAACAAACTACTACGCCACTCTTCTGAAACACACAAAGAAATTCCTGCCATGGAAACCACAAGCAGCATATCTACTGTAATCTAGAGAGACCTAACCCAACCTACAGCCCGAGCAAGTTCCCATTCAAGATGGACCCCTGAGACCAAATTGAATGTCTTAAGACAAAAACAGATCAACACAAGAATTTGAAAAGATCATGATTATCCCCATGCAAAGATAATCCTCCCTGAAATCACTGACATCATCAACCCTGAATAATCCAAGCAACAGATCTAGAAGTACTAACAACGAAGATTTCAGCGAACCGACGACAGAGAGTCAACCGACACTGATAAATCAGCTTTCAAATCGAACAAAAAGGACCAAAAAGAGCGAACCGGGAGATACCTCGTTTAGCTTGTCTAATGTTTGGAGAGCATTAGACTCCTGTTTGGGTTTCCCGAAGAGCCGATTCATGAACATGGTTAATTATCCGTGATATAGAAATCCAATCCGATCTCCTCGGAAACAGTAAAAACGATCAACGATCGCCGGAATTCCGCGAGAAACTACGAAAGATGAACCCAAATCACGCATATATAGATCGATTAGACCGAAGTCGCCGTGAAATAAAGAGGAAGAACAAATCAAATTCCAGAAGAATTAGACGACAGACAGAGAAAATCCAGATACCTGATATAAACAATTAGGGATTTACGATGAGAGATTTGGGAACGGAGATATAATCGATCGAGTTTTTTTTTTTTTTGGGCTTAATCGTGTTGTGTTCGACGCTAAAGATCGAACGAAGCTCCTTTACCTTTTCCACATGTTGGAAGCATTAATCTCCACGTGTCAGTTACATATTGGTCGAATAATTAGGGCATGGGCACGCGGAGTAGAGGATTACAAACTCCTTCCCACCCTCAAAGCGGCGCCGTTTTCCAAAATGAAATTAAAAATGCTACTTTTTTAGTCGCTCCAAATGTATACTATTGTTATATATCATACAGTTATTTTGATTGTTATAATAAGATGACAAAAAATTAGTTTTAATTCAATTAATTTCACTTAAAAAAGTCTAATTAATTTGAATTCAATTTAATTTCGATTCTTATTCTATTTGTGTACTAAAAAATAAAAGTATACAAAGTTAGATGATAGAATATATGGAAAAATTTTGAACTCATAACAATTAATTTTATACGAAGCCCAAGCTATGATTGAGACCGTCCTAGTACATTCATTGGTTGAGCCATGATAACGTACTACAACTAATAATAATAACATCGAGCAACATTTATGTATTTCCCATGCATAATAATAAAAAAAAACAACTAATCGAAGAAAAAAAATATTACCATTGAACCCTAAGTCGGTCGATTTTTCCGACGACATCCTCTCGAACACCTGAACACGACGGCCGGTGCACCCGAGCTCCGCCGCCACCTCCGACGCTCCTCCGCCGGTCTCTTCCACCGCTTTCTCCGCTCGCTGACGTGGCCTCCGGCCTCTGCCTCGGCGCGCTATGCGACCTCAGCTTCGCCCTGAACGACGTCGTGTCAGGCATGGAGCTC